CAGGAGATGTGGGCCTCGGATTTACAGTCACGATCGCATCCAAACTCAGGACAGAGAACAATTGGGCACTTGCAAGTATTATGTCAAATAACTGGTCCAGTTGCTTGGCAAAGCTGTCCTTAATGCAAGTTTTCCTCTCCCAAGAGAGATATCTCTTGCCTTTTCCCAACTGGCTAGCAGTCTCTCACTAATCTTCTTCTGACTTGTTATGACTGGAGGCTTGAACTGAGCGTTAGCCAGAGTGTACTGTGCCAAGACAGCTTTGGTCATATCACTGGCAATGTCTTTGTTTGTGTAAGTTCTTTGGTTCTTTTCACTGATTTGCCTGATTAAAACACCGTATCTCAAAGCATCTCTCAATGTAGGCAACTCCGACTTCAGGAGCTCTCTCCCAGACCCAAGATAGTGACTGAGATGGCTGGATTTTTGGTTCCTCGTCCTGACACAAGCAGCCATCGCAAATATTATCAACTTATAAATGCATCAGAATCTGAAACAGAAAAAATATTGTTAGTTGGGTTGTTAAAGAATGAAGTCAGAAAGCAATGTTCACTATTTAATTGTAATGCACTAATGCAGCTGTACGTTAGATTTTCGATAAATTTCACGCTAAAATTTACCTAGCAAAAGGTTGCAAAATATTGAAACTGAAATTATTTTCTGTTTATATACACTAAAATCTACCAAAAAAGTGATGGGCCATTAGTTTTAGCTGATCTTCCCTCCTATGACACACCCTACTGTTGTAACCCATTAACAAATGTGGATCCAGGTGATCGCCTATCCGTTATCTCTCATGTATCCGCGTCTCTCCAATATGCAGTACCTTTTCTCGTAACAATAGGAACGAGACGACTGCTGTAAGTAACAAACTCATTTGCAAATTAGGTCCTCGAGATCTTCAGCTGTGACCCTGACATGAGTGTGATGTTCTGTACTTTAACTAGTGATGATGCCTTGCCAAACGAGTAAACCTCGTACAAGAAAGATCGTATTCGAAGAATTTGACAAGAGGAGGGGAGGCAAATGTGTCACGTCCTTGCTATATTGACCGAGACCCAAACCTGCCACATAGACAATATCTTTTGTCACCCTCAGAATTTTCCGTTTTCTCTCGTGTTCAATGTCCTGATAAAATATCGAGTAACTCGCCAATTTAGTCAATATAATTTTAGATGATGATTTTTGAGCTTGTAATTATTTGAAGTGGTTGAATTATATTAGTTTAGGCTAATGTGGGGGATTTCACAGCCGACGAGCTACAGTGTATTTGTTTTGATGTTTAAATTCTTACTATATTTTCAACAGTGAGTTCTGATATAATAATATTTTTTTATGGAAATTGCTTTTATTTGGTTGATAATTAGGCGCCTAGGCAAGCACTACTTTGCCTTTCTCGACGTGATACGGCGGTACATAGCCAATCACCCCTGATTGACGCCAGCACGGTCAGCACCCAGTCGCCAGTGATGTTTATAAGCCACACAGATCGGGTAGCTGCTCTCGCATCCATAAAAATCTTCAAATTACACCATATAACAGTAAATTCTTTCTGTTTTATATGACGGGGGTCCGGAGGGTTGAGCCTCATGGCTAGGAAGTTAGATAAGGTTAGATAGTTTTTTTTTGGTTAGGTTGATGAGGTCTTCTAACAACGCTTCTGCTGCTTGTTTTTTCTTATTAACTATGGCTGGGTTAGGCTTAATTAGAAATAAACACTTTTTAACACATTTTCTATAACTACGACAGCATCCACTATAAAACAGTGAAATTGCTGCGTTTTTATATTCGTTTTCTATGAAATCGTAAATAATTACCCTAGTTTACCCCTGTATTTATATTTATCAACCATTTACTGTTTATGGACTGGGTTTAGATAACAGCGCCACTGTGTATGAAATTTAATGTGGACATAAGTAAAATACTTAGTCTTGGAGATGTAAACAAAGAAACTAGATATCAGGTGAACTTTGATTTTATAGTCTTTATCCGACTGTGAGAAAGATTTAGGACTAATGATAAGTAAGAATCTTAAATCAAGTAAAAAATGTGTATTTGCTCGAAACAAGGCTAACAACGTACTTGGGTTCATACAAAGGAGTGTTAGTTACAAGACTAGCGAGGTTATCCTAAAACTATATCTTGCGCTTGTGAGACCTCACTTGGATTACGCAGTTCAGTTCTGGTCACCGTACTACAGAATGGATATAGAATCCCTTGAAAGAATTCAGAGAAGAATGACAAAACTAATCCAGGGCATTAGGAACCTTGAGTACAGAGACAGGTTAAAGCATCTTAATTTGCACTCCGAGAGATGTAGAGTGAGGGGCGATAGCGGGCGTGTGCTGCGCGCGGCCACCGCCCCAACATATCAACTGCTATTTCCCCCTCCCACTTTTCTTCCCGTTTCTATGCTTTACGTCTCTCTCTCCTTTCCTTTCCCTGTGCAAAGTCATATGCCACTTTACTTCATTATCATCATGAGGGGCGATATGATCGAGGTGTAAAATGGAAGTCAGGGCTAAACAAAGGTGATATAACAAAGATACTCAAACTATCCAACCAGGAGCGAACTCGTAGCAATGGTTTTAAATTAAACAAATTTAGATTTAGGTGCAAGATAGGTAAACACTGGTTTGAAAATAGAGTAGTTGATGAGTAGAACAAGTTATCAAACATCATCATTAACTCGAATACGCTGGATAGCTTCAAACATAGGTTGGATGGATATATGAGCGATAGGGGTTGGGTGTAAACAGGACTGCCCAGTCTGGGCTAATAGGCCCGCTGCACTTTCATCCATTTTTATGTATGTATGTATGTATGTATGTATGTATGTATGCATGTATAAAGCAGGGGGACCTCTTCTTACCAGCCGTCTCCACGCTCTCCTGGAGAATCTATGAGAAAAGTAGGAAATCCCCCAAGCTCTTAAAGACGCCTCCATCGTCAACATCTATAAGAACAAGGGAGACAGGTCAGACTGTGGCAACTACCGCGGGATCTCACTGCTGTCTGTAGATGGCCAGATTATTGCCCGAGTCCTCCTAAACAGACTTCTTCCTGAGGCGAAAAACTTCCTCTCAGAATCTCAATGTGGCTTTCGACCATCACGTGGCACCACTGACATGATCTTTGCTGCCCGTCAGATACAGGAAAAGTGCAGAGAACAGCGTCATGACCTGTACATGGTTTATCATCGACCTAACCAAGACCTTCGACTCGGTCAACTGGGAAGCCCTCTGTGGACTCTCAGCCGTTATGGCTGCCCCCCAAAATTCATCGCCATTGTCAGGTAACTCCACGATGGCATGAACAGCAGTGTCCTGCACAATGGCACCCAGCCTGAGTTCTTCCCCATCCAAACGGGGGTAAAACAAGGGTGTGTACTGGCACCAACTCTCTTTTCCATTTTCTTGGATGCCCTCTTTACTCGTGCCAGTGCCAATTTAGCCGGCGGGGTGGACATCGAGTACCGGATGAAGGGTCTCTTCAACATAAGATGACTCCAGGCAAGAGCAAAGGTGTCGGCAGTTTCCATTCCTGAACTTCAGTATGCAGACGACCTCATCCTTGTCGCTTACACTGAACACGACCTACAGGAGATCCTGAACACCTATGCAAATGCATATGCACACTTCGTCCTTGAGGTTAATGTACCCAAGACTCAGATTCTCTTTCAACCTGCCCCTGGTTCAGACACACCTCCACCATCCATCCATCTAAACGGTACTACCCTTTCTAATGTTACCCACTTTCGGTATCTCGGGTCCCACCTGTCCAACACCGCGGACATCGATGAAGAGATTCAGCATTGGATCAGATGTGAATCTCAAGCCTTTGGCAGACTCTGAAACCGTGTCTTCAGCTGTAGGGAGCTGAAATTATCTACAAAGTTACACGTATATCGAGCAGTGGTCCTCCCCACTCTGGTATATGGCGGCGAGACATGGGTCACATACAGGAAGCACCTCAAGGTACTTGAAAACTTTCATCAATGTAATCTACGTTCCATTCTCCGAGTTCGCTGGGAAGACAAGAGAACAAATGCCAGTATTCTTATTGACACCAACTGTAGGAGCATCAAGGCTACCATTATCCATGACATGAACAACTACGCTGGACTGGCCATGCTACCAGCTTGGACGACAGTAGACTGCCAAAGCGGCTACTTTACAGTCACCTAAAGAATAGTAAAAGTATCGCCGCCGGGCAACTGAAAAAGGTATAAGGATAGTCTTAAGACAAACCCGAAATAGTGCCAAATCCACCCCCTCACCTGGGAGACGATTACTCCACACAGTAACGCTTGGAGGAGCACCACACGAGGTGTCAATACTTTCGAGTTATCCTGACTGCAAACCATATCATTGTATCATATAGCTGGATGATCGTCATACTCGAGTCTGTCTGTCTGTCTGTCTGTGCCTATGTCTGTGTCTCTGCCTTCTGTCTGTCTGTAAGGTTAGGTTGTACAACATGTAACATCCTGTCCCTCACAAATCAGGACATCCCTGGTATCTATTATTGTGATGTTGGTCACAAGGTTCGAGTTCCTCTACCCAGCTTTTTTTGACCAGAACTGTCATGGGAACCCGCTAGTTTTGCCCTGAGATCTAATAAGGGAGGGCACGATGACATGCGAGGGCTGATGATGTTATACTATGCTGAAATATGTTATATGATCATTTTTTCATCACTTATCAGATTATGTTATATTAGATAAGTTTTTTCAGGTTATGTATTGTCAGGTTATTTTATATTTCATTAGATTATGCTATGTTGTTAGGTTAGGTTAGTTTAGGTCAGTTTAGGTCTTAATTAAAAAAACCGAAAATCAGTGCTAAATATCCAAGATGGTGGGCAAGTCGTACAACAGTGGATGGAACCGTAAGCACAAGGCTGCCCTGAGGTTACAAACCTGTCGAAGGAGATGTACTCAAGTGTCTTTTAAATCCACACTCTCAAAATTCTTCTGAATGGTCTAGTAACTAGCTGTATTGCGACTACACTTTATTGTAAATATTTAGTGTAAAATAGTCATAACATATTTGGTTGATCGATTGTGAATATATAAAAAAATATAGTAAACACTCATTGTATTTTTGTTAGATCAACAAAACCGCACAGCACCGCCAACAATTGTAGTCTACTTCAACTTATAAACAAAAGGTGAAATATAAATGAATAAAACATTAATATTCAGTATAAACATAACATCTAGTGAACTCACATCATGCAAAATTACGTTTTATATACATAATAATCAACCCCTACAACTATACTATATACAATAAACAAGGTGGCCTTGTTTACGTATTCAACAACTCAAAACAACATCCAGATTTCCCTTAAACTTGAACTGAGGCCAAACAACAAGAGAATCTAATCACCAAACAATTCATAATAGTAATATATACAATAGAATGATATATGTTTACATATTCATGTTGTAGAAAAAAGAATAGCACATTTTCAGTACAGTACAGTACAGTACAGTACAGTACAGTATATTGTAGTGGTCGAGACAGTTAATCATAAGCTCATGACACTGTTTGAATTTACCTTAAGTCTCACAAGATTCTCTGTGAGTTAAGGTCACTGGTGCTTCTTGACCTCTCACAAGACTCTTTCTGAATCTAGGTCACTAGTGCTTTCCTCCTCTATGACTTGGGTGATGAGGTGACCTAGAGCTCCTTGGCTCATAATAGAGGTCTTCTTACTGGGTAAATCTTTGACATATTCTTCGTCAGTCCTCCTGCCAGGTCCTCCAGCCATGGTCAACCTCTCTTGTGGCTGCTGCGTCCCCTGGATCACGTCCTCTTCCTCGGCCCGGGTGGTGGGTCTCTCACGTATGGCTTGACGACGACGAAATTTGAACAAAGATCTAAAAGGTTAGGTTGGGGTAGGTTAGGTTAGATTTGATTAAGATATGGAAAATGAATTTGGATCAGGTTGAATTAACCTAGATTAGGTGATATTAGATTAGGTTTGGTTTAGTTAGATTTAGTCAAGTTAGAGTGGGTTAGATTAGGATGCATGGGATTAAGTTAAATTAGATTAGATTAGATTACTTCGGGTTAGTAGAGGTTAATTTAGATTACGTTAGGTTCAATTAGTGTAGCTTCGATTAGGTTAGACTGAGATTACTAGAGCAAGTTTTCTCACTGTTAATGTGATATCGTCAGGCATAAAGTTGGAAAAACTAACTCAAGAAACAGTGAAATTTGCATAGTGAACCTAGATATAAATCTGAGCAATTGCTTATTAATTCAAATATGAGATAGGAGTTATTCACCCGTGAACCTATCGACCAATCAACGTGCAATCCATGACCCTACACTACAATAATCATTTTCGGGCTGTCTTTACCAATCCTCCAAGAGCTTACAGAAATTCTCTCCAGGGAACCACAGCATTATCAAAAGAGGCTTCAGTTCCTCGACTCAGCTAATGGTCATGCATTCCCCTGAGGGGCATGGGATGGGAGGTCTGTAACTCTATGTCACGGAGCTTTGAGGAACTCACTGAAACAGACCATAAGATAAACGTCGAAAGGGCCACCAACTGGTGTATGCACTACCTCAGCTATCCAGAGAGGCTAGAACGCCTGCAACTGCTTAGCTTATACTATAGGCGGGCAAGGGATGGCTTAATAGAAGTATATAAACATCTCAGAGGGCACTACTCAGCTGAGTGTTCATACCTGGAGCTGGCGCATGCCCGCCTCTCTAGAGGTCACAGGTTAAGGGTGAAGTAAACTGTCAAGGCCAACTTTTCGGAGTGAAAGTTGTGAACTCTTGGAACAATCTGCCAGAGAGCGTTACGGCGGAAACGAGTGTGAGCTCATTCAGGACCAGATTTGACCATCACTGGCGCAGGTACAGATACATTCTGGAGCCACTACATGGACATTACTTGCCAACAGTGCGTAACAGAGATCTAACTGACCGCCCAAGCGGCTAATGAGCCAATCAGGGGCGAAGAGGATAAAATAAAGTTTAACGAACAGGTGTTAAAGATAATGGGGACCAAGATAGTGAGAAGAACAACACGGTGATCTGAGCAATCTATCAAGGAGTGATGAAACACACAGTGGCCTGAAGAACTTATCAGAGAATAAGGGATTTCACCACAGGATTCCATTATACAACGAATTAGAGGGAAGAGAAAAAACATCTGCGTCAGACAGACGGGGTGCGACTTACCGTCTACTGGGAGAAGCAGCTCTGGGGCGTCCGTTGTGTTGTGTAGACCGCACTGACCACATGAAGCCACGATTCCCTTGGCCAGGAGTCAACACAAACAGCGACTGTCGAGAGAGACGGTCCTTCTTAACACGAACAGCAGTATTAATTATCTAGGTAAAATATTATCTTTCCTTGCGTGGCCATATTTTTCCATCTATCCTTCAAGAAGAAAAGCCTTAATGGTTAACCTAATGATTCGATTCCCCAGCTTATATCATCTGTAGATTAACCACTCTAACGCAAAGCTAATCAAACTTAATCTCATTTAAACTAACCTAACTCCTTCAGGCAGTGTAAGGGTTGTTAATTTTCAGATAAAATAAGCTAGGGAGGAGAATCTTCAGGTAGTCCGTTTTAATTAAAAATTCTTTCAAATACGTTTCCGGAAATCAAAATCCTAACTTCGAATTTTGGGAATCGTTTGTGACTGAAGATATTTACAAAATTTCTTGCAAATGATTTAATGGAGAATGGTAAATATGGCAACGTAAGGAAACTCCGTTTTACATTTTCTCAACTAAAAAAAGGAAATAAATTAGACAAATGGGCGAGGCAGAGGTTTACCTTTCTCTTGAAGATCCAGGGGAAAGTGACCCTAAAGGCTCTCCTGAATGTCTGGTGCATGAGGGCGTACACGATGCAGTTAACAGCAGGGTTGACGTAGATCATGTACTGCGACGCCGTCAGGAGATTGTTGTACGTCTGGCAGCGGCAGTTGGGTGTGTACGTAAGAAATAGGAACATCAGTGGAGTGGCCACACACCAAAATTAGAGACAACAGCAGTAATTAAAGAACTTACAAAGGATGTTTGTTTTTAATGCTCAAAGAACTGTAAATATTATCTTGAAATATTTATTCACGATCAGCCTGACGAGCAACACCTAGGTTATACATCTCCCCCCCCTCCCCCCCCCCGGAACCTTTTCTGAGTGAGTGACGAGAAGTTTTCCAACGAAATAACATTTACAGAGATAAAACTTCACATCCATTCGCCAATATCCCATGATTATTGTAAAATACGTCGTGACAAGAGGATACATCATGGAGTCACGAGAAAAAAGTATCAAGTTATTGGAATGAGAGACAACACAACGCTCTAAGTCTGCCATTTGCCATGTTTGTTACATACACTTTCACAAGGAAATCCGAGGAAAATAAAAATAAAAATGTGCTCACGGGAAGGAGTAATAACTGAAGAATCTACATTAATAGACTGACGTTATTCTGTCTCTTGATGGAAGTCACGCGACTGGCCTGACTCATTAAGATACAAGAACGCAGACACTACGCTGAATATCATAACTAGTAAAGTTACCCATTTGATCGATAAATATATACCCAAGACCAAACCAAGTGCTTCTAGGAATACGAGGGGATCCCTACACATGAACCATGCGGCGGTCGACAAAATTAAGAAGAAAACCCAGAAATTCAAGACGTGGGTTGGGTCAAACGATGAGCAAGACAGGAGGATGTATGCAAGAGCCAGAAACCAAGCAAAGATAGAGTGTAGAAGGGCTGAAAAGGAGTTCCAGAGGCTGGTTGCAAGCGAGGTCAAGTCAAACCCAAAGGCGTTTAACCGCTATGCAAAGTCGAAATTGAAAACGCGAGTAGGAGTATTAGACCTGAGGCTGGTGGATGGTAGTTACGCAGATTCTGACCATGCTAACTCTGAGGCATTGAACAGCTTCTTTTCCTCAGTGTTCACAAGAGAGGATGCAACTAACCTTCTTGCGTTTGAAGACAGACGGTTCGACACAGCACTGACCCACATTGTGTTCACAGAAGAGAAGAAGAGATTATTAGAAATAAACTGTCAAGGCTAAAGGTCCATAAGAGTCCCGGCCCTGACATGGTACATCCTAGAGTGCTAAGAGAGTTGTGCAACGAGCTTGCAGAGCCCCTGAAGATCCTGTTTTGTAAATGCCTGGATGAACAAATGGTCCCCAGTGAATGGAAAGTGGCTTATGTGAGTCCTATCTTCAAGAAGGGCGAGCGTCACTCCACGAACAACTATAGACCGGTGAGCCTGACCAGCATAATATGTAAAGTACTTGAGAGTATTATCAGAGATGCAACAATGGAACATCTAATACGAAACAACCTTGTAAAGGATTGCCAACACGGTTTTATGCCGAGGCGCTCCTGCTTAACACAACTGCTCATGGTATTGGATATTTGGACCCATATTCTGGAAAGGGGAGGTAATATCGACAATATTTACCTAGATTTTGCCATGGCTTTCGACAATGTACCCCATGAAAGGCTGAAAATCAAACTGGATGGGTACGGAATTCGGGGAAATGTCCTAGCGTGGATAGAAGACTGTCTACGTGACCGCAAGCAGTGTGTGGTGATTAATGGTACGAAATCGTCATCCTGTCACAAGTGGGGTACCACAGAGCAGTGGATTGGGCCCGCTGTTGTTTGTTTGTTTCATAAATGACATGCCTGACGTTGTACACTCCTCCATACAAATGTTTGCTGATGACGCTAAGTTATTTCGGGAAATTAAGAACCAAGCGGACTGTGAAGAGCTGCAGAAGGACCTCTGTGGGCTCCAGGAATGGTCGAAGAAATGGCTGCTGAGATTCAATGTCACGAAGTGTAAGAGGATGCACCTGGGGCGTACCAACGGTAAGGAGGCGTATCATATATCCCAACGGGATGAAGAAACTGCACTAGTTGAGACTGAATGTGAGAAGAACCTAGGTGTGTATGTTGACAATGAGCTGAAGTTCTCGGGCCATTGCGAGAAGGTAAACCAGGCAAATAAATTATTGGGTCTTATAAGAAGGTCGTTCAGATATCTAGACGGTCCGTCCCTCGTAACGATCTTCAAGAGTGAAGTGCTTCCCTATCTGGAGTACTGTCACCCCGTCTGGTCCCCGAGATATGCTAGGGACTGTCAGTTGGTTGAAAATGTCCAAAGGAGGGCCACCAGACTGGTGCCTACACTTCGGCACCTCAGCTACCCTGAGAGATTGGAGCGCCTGAACTTGCCTAGCTTATACTACAGACGGGCAAGGGGCGACCTAGTTGAGGTGTATAAGTATCTCAGGGGGCACTACTCAGTCGAGTTTCCTTACTTGGAGCTGGCGGACGCTCAAGATTGAAGAAGCCGCAAGTCCAGAAAACTGTGAGGGCAAACTTTTTCGGGGTGAGGGTTATAAACTCTTGGAACAATCTACCAGAGAGAGTTGTAACGGCACCGAGTGTGAGGTCTTTCAAGACAAGACGACCAACACTGGAGCGGGTTCAGGTACATTCAGGAGCCGGTGCATGCCCAGTATTTGCCAACAGTGCGTGACAGAGACGTGGCCGATCGCTCGGGCGGCTAGGGAGCCGATCTTTTGGTGAAGAAGATAAATGAAAAGGAAAAGTAATCAGAGACGTGACCGATCGCCCAAGCGGCTAACGAGCCGATCAGTGGCGAAGAGGATAAAAGTAAAAATAAAAGACAAATATCCAGACCATAACAATGATTTGATTTAAAAACTGTTAACTTATTGTTCAGTTTTTGAACAAGTGGGGACAGATATATCCAACAAAACACAGCTCTTTTAGGTTTTTCGTAGTAGTTAAGAAGTTCATTGGTAATTTCAGAAAAGGGCCGAATTGAAAGACTTCGAAGGCCGCATGTGGCCCTGAGGCCACAGTTTGCACAGACATGTCTTACATGATACAACACTTGATGAAGTACGAACACCCTCTTCAAGGATATTCTACTAGTAGTACTCAACCAAGCACGCACCACTAGAAGTATTACTTAGCCAAGGACGCACTACTGGAGGCAGCATTTACTCAAGGACACGCTAGAGGCGGTACTTAGCCAAGGACACTATTAGAAACAACAATTAGCCAAGGACACAGTACCTGAGGTGGCATTTACCCCAGGACATACCCAAAGAGGTGCCACTCAGCCGAAGAAAGATACTGTCACTCACTCACCTTCTGGAGCTCGGGTTTGAGGGCGCCTTGTTGGTTGATGAAGTGGTCTCGGGCCAACTGGGTGACCTGGAAGGGCATCCAACACACGATGAAGAGGATCACTATCACGAACATCATCCTTACTACCCTCTTCTTCAGATGCAGGATGGCCGGGTGCTCTGTTGTTTACCAAGGAAGACGCTATATTAGTATTATCCTGTCTTCTTATTCTTGATAGACGTTGCTAACTGTTTTTGGACCTACAGGACTGACTGTGGTCTTAGAGTATACAAGTCACTGTCTGTGAATACAGATAAATGACTGTTTGAACTACCTTACAAAGCTCACCTCGTCCTCTGACCCTGTTGGTGTATTTGCTGAAGTTGACGAAGATGATGGAGTAGGAGATTACCATGATGGTGAGGGGCAGAATGTTGAGGGCGACCACCACCACAATCCACCAAGTGAGGATCATCTCACTCTCTTCACACGTCCGCTCCGTTAAGTCTTTCCACCTGTGTACCTGCAGGAGTTTGGGTTACTGTATTCTCATAGGGGTTGGCTGTGTTGTGTATACTGCCAAGTTGTCAGGGGTTTATTACGAACTAGATTTTTCATGGTTGAACAGAAGCAGAGGCGGACCTGGGCTCTGTCTGGAGCCGTGACATTTCATTAAGAGTTGGGTCCATTCCACGCCACTAGTACTGATAGTTTGGGGCCCATTCCGCCCCACTAGTATTAATAGTCATCTATGACCTATACATTTGTTACCAGGTTTACCTATTTTTGAGAAGAATCACTCAATCATCTGGTCATTACCTAATACGTCACCTACGAGACCGTGGTAATAACATCCCATCCTATCCCCCTGTGCACGTATCGTTGGTACAAATGCCACAATGAATCGGAACAGTTGTCACACGAAAACATTAATGGCATTGTTTCCCATACATAAAATTATAGATTTTCTTTAGTCGGATAAAGAACATTCGCATTTCATTCCCAATTAATTTACCGAAAAGAAATAGTTATCGATACAGGATTCGACAACTTTAGGCTCGAGGCTAAAGGTACGGTAGTCCCCAACTGAGAAATCAGAAAAAATTTTGATAATAGGGTAGATTAGGCTATAAACTTTCTTTTCGTATCTGTGTGTACTGTTCCTGTCCTTCGGCAGCTCAAGGTACGCAAAGTTAAAAAATTGTCTCCCTTACCTTAATGTAACCAGAACTTCTTGAAGTACCACTTCAGGATAAAGGAAAAGGTATGTACAATATGTGGTATTTCTGGATGTTTGTGCCAACTACTGAAAGAACAAAAATGACTGCTCGTTTATTAAATTACCTGACATGGTTTTTCCGAATTATAGCCGCGTTCTATACTACCGTACATGTGATTACCTCATTTTCGTTACGGATCAATAAAATGTTCAACCACTTTTTTCTTTTGAATTTTCTCCCAAAATTGTTATGAAATAACAACTGAAAGAATCTAATGCGAGCGACAAAACTATCTTCCCTCGACTACATATGAACAGTTGGTATGCCTGACTGGGTAGCACGATTCATCTGGGAAGCCCTGAGCCTTTATCCGCAACATGAAGCATATCACGAATCCAAACTTCCAAAAGTGGTAAATGTGGTAAAATTATATATTTTACAGTCATGATATAAGCACACCAGGGATGCTCTGGAAACTCAGGATCACAGTCTCCAGGCCGCCAACTGTTTCAAGTTTCACAGGAAGGCTCGAGCGACACATTAATCCAAAACTGGGTAGATAGTTTTGTCCCTCAATGTACACTGATGCCTTATGCAACATCGTAATATTCCTGTCAAGCTGAAAAAAAATAAAATGTAACATTACGAATTTCTCTTTCACATTAATAAAACAAATAATATTAAACAGGTTAACTCCTTCAGTTTAAATTATTTTACTTTCTACAAGAGAATTTTTTAACACCCTGATGATCAAAATTTATCTTAGGCAAATTACAATTAAATTTCTAGTCCAGTTTTGCATTTGTTTGTGTCGTTTTCTGCAAATTATTCGATGTTTCGTAATTGTAAGCAGTTAACAAAATTTAAATCTTAAATACGTTGTTGGTAACATTGTCGTGGATCTCTCCCCTACAATTGCGTAGCCGCATTCCAATGCGACAGTATCCTAGCAACCAGCGAGCTGCTCAGGGGGGGTCGCCACCTGCGACGTTTGCCCTAGCAACGGAGTCAAGCAACCGGCGAGTTCCCACGGGTTTACTTCCGGCTGCTTTGTATATAAGCTCTCAGTCTCTCCATTGAGATGGATGGGGCGCTTGTGGTAGAAGCGGTACCGCTCTTGCCTCGCAAGCAAGATGTCACGGGTTCGATTCCCAGGCAAGCGGAAGTTGTTTGGACACTCTTCCTAGCCCCCTTGGTCCCTGTTCACCTAGCAGTGAAGTAGGTACCTGTTGTAAATCGAAAGGTTGCGAATTCGTATTCAGGGAAAGTTGTTGGAGCTTCTAAATTTGAACTTGAATTGAGATGGATTCTACCCTACGTTCCTGAACACACAACACCTCCTCCAAGCAAGCTCCTTGCTGTCCTCCAGCTCTCATTCAACCTGGAGGACAGCAACACGCAACATCTCCTCTATCGCACAGATACCTCCTCAAGCACGCTACTCACTGAACGTGTCTCTTGAGCAAGCTTCTCACCACACGGCATCTCCAGCACCAGACTGTCTTGTATATAATATATTTTATATAGGAAAACCACCACCTAGAGTTTCCATCCATCCATCCTGAGTGCTAGACAACATAACATCACGTAACCCTACAAATGGTGACCCCGGGAGATTCGCACTCACACAGGATGGAGGACGGACGGATCTCTCTACCGACTTTCAACCACAACGTCGAGGACTGGTTAGATCATGTGGAAGCAATCCTCATCGGCTCACAAGCTACTGGCAAACAGAAATACGTCGCCCTGATCTGTTCCCTGCACACAGAAGTCGCCATACAAGTTGCAAAAGTCATCACCAACCCTCAACTGACAACAAATTCGCCGCTCTACAAGATGCTCTCAAGAGGTGTTACCAGCGGCCTCACACCAGTCTCCTGCAAGACCTATCCGGCTTCTCCCTCGGCAACTCCACGTCTGCACGTCTCTGGGACGAGATGCAAAGACTGAACTCCCGCCACACAGACAGGCTTCCTGACACTATCCTGCGCCAGCTTCACACTCAGAAGCTCCCTGCAGAAGTTCGTCTCGTCCTCTCGGCATTGGACTACACTACTACCTCGGCGACCTATCCAGCCACGGCAGACAGAGTATTCCACGAATACACTGCTGTGTGCCATGCTGCCGCAAACCACTCAGTGGTCACACCTCCACTTAGCCCCGGTTTCGTCAACCTGATCAACGCTCCTCAGAGAAGTAGCACTCCACCAGACAAGCAAGACGTCAGGGACCTGTTGCAAACTTTGAACCACAAGATGGACACCATTGAAGAGCTCTGCTCCTCCATGCCTGCTTCATCTCCTGTTCCTGCCCCACGCACTGTGTCCTACCGACCCCAACACCCCCGTCCTGCCCCAGACCCCGCCGCCAGCCTCCAGCACAATGTACCTACCTTCTGTTGGTAATATCAACGTTTTGGCGCTAAAGCTAGACGCTGTGAGGCTCCCTGCAACTACACGGTGAAGCAACATCGACGGAGACTGGTAGACGCCATAACCTCCGACACTATCAAGCAGCACATCACACTCCTTACTTCTGACCTTGACCACTTCACTCCTGCTGCCCGTCACGACCTACTACAAACACTACGTCAGGCGGTTTCTGCATTCAAGGCTACTGCCCCTCGCCAGCCTTCCCACCGCCCTGAACACATTCATCCCGCACCTCCTCCGCCAGTCTACCCACCATTGCCACTTAGAGCACCACCTCGCCCACAACATTTCTGCATACCCTCTTTATATCCTGAGGTACCTACTGCTCCTGACGACCCCGCAGCCGGCCCTAATGACCCAGATACCCCACCCGGCACCCCTGTACCTGCCGCAAGAGAAGCACCACATTCCTCGCCAGTACAACCTTCTATTATCAACAACCCTCCTTCTCCCTCTGCTTCTCCCACAGATCTCGTGCCTCCAGACAGAGTCGTCACCCGCAGTGGCCGACTGATCCACACCCCTGCCCGTTATGTCTCTCATGTGGGATACAACCCTGCCGACAACAAGTCTCCTACAGGGACCAGAGGGGAGGGGAGTATTGTAGTGGATCTCTCCCCTACAGCTGCGTAGCCGCATTCCAATGCGACAGTATCCTAGCAACCAGCGAGCTGCTCACGGGGGGGGGTGGGGAGAGGGGTCGCCACCTGCGACGTTTGCCCTAGCAACGGAGTCAAGCAACCGGCGAGTTCCCACAGGTTTACTTCCGGCTGCTGTGTATATAAGCTCTCAGTCTCTCCATTGAGATGGATTCTGCCCTACGTTCCTGAACACGCAACACCTCCTCCAAGCAAGCTCCTCGCTGTCCTCCAGCTCTCATTCAACCTGGAGGACAGCAACACGCAACACCTCCTCTAACGAAGCTCTTGCACAGATACCTCCTCAAGCACGCTACTCACTGAACGTGTCTCTTGAGCAAGCTTCTCACCACACGGCATCTCCAGCACCAGACTGGTGTAGTGATGGGTTGTCAGACCACAGCTTACATCTCAGAAACAGTCCTCTTTACCCGACATTAGGGAGGTCAAGTGTAGGGTAACTCTCACGGCTGACCAAGGGTTATAAATCAGCCAGGCTCCCCTCCCATGTCACACATGTAAGGGGGCACCGGCCGGCTCTCTCCCAATATACACAATGGCCCCACCTGATGACTTCTCCAGAAGATACAACTTATAGTCTCTGAAAAAGTCCAGACCTGACCTCACATTGGCCAGGTCAAATGTAAGGAGACCCTTCGCCCCCCCCCACCCCCCCGACCAGCTCAACCTGACGGCTCGCCTCCCAATATATAGGACGTCCTAGTCCTCCCTCAGGGAGAGACGAGAGAGATACCCGGAGACAGAGAGCCAGAGAGGGACAGAGAGAGAGTGTGGAATGTGACGAGGAAGGGCCAGCGTCTACACCACGGGTCCTGCTCGAGAGAAGTCAGGGGCCGGAGGCAAGCCGCCTCGGGTTGCCTGCAGTCGCCTCCGGTCAGGACCGAGACTTCCCTCCGGCGCCCAGCTAAGCAGTCTCCCATAGAGGCAACCCAGGACCACCTGCTAGGCCTCCCCCAGGTCACGTGAGTGTTTGTCAGAGCTTTCCATGGGATGAGTTACTTACGTGGGAAGTGTATTCATTTCATGTTCGTGTCCGAGAATCAGAGTGTCTAGTAACGTAATATGATGTCCTAGTAACGTAAATATAATGTCCTAGTAACGTCAATAGAAGGTGTTATTAATGTGTCCATGTCATGTTCGTAATTAATAAAGAGTTGTAACGAAGCGGTGTTTGAGAAGTCGCCCTTAAGACGTAATAGATGTGTATTG